TAGGCAGGTAGGTAAATATAGATAAATAGATAAAGAGAGAGAGAGAGAGAGAGAGAGAAAGACAGAGAGACAGACAGAGAGACAGAGAGAGATAGAGGCAGTCATAGAAAGTGAGAAGAAGAGAAAGTTAATGAGAAGAACGGCGCAGACAGATATTTTGATATATGTAAAGAATAATTGTGTATAAGTCAAAAAATACACAATCACACATGTACACAAGAAAAATGAGATGAGGAGAAAATGTCCGTGAGAGTACCGTATCAACTATTTAACCAACACGAAAAATGTAAAGATAATTTTTCCCATCACACACAAATTTACAAATGTAAATCTTACATTTAAATTTTCAATTAACACTATTTTGTTATTGATGCCTTATTAGATTGTTCATTTTGATTTGCAATTTACACAAGGGAGAATTATCGACTACCCCCGTGGTTATTCATGACGTAATCAGCTGACTTAGGTAATATTTGTTTTCCAGTAAAGGGTTGTTTCGTCCGATGATATACAAACGGAATATAAATGTCAGTTAATCTCCCTAGTCTTGCTGCCGGGAAATGGTGGTAATTTAAACTGCTCCGTCTGCTCAAAGGGTCAGCATAGAAAAAAGTTTTAATAATAAATATCACACTGGGGAAATCTCTTTTGTGTAATTGATGGGAAATTGTTTTAATCACAGCCTAGAAATGAAAAAAAAAAGGATGAAAGATCCCAGAGAAGGCTACTGACTTGTTTTCCATCCCTTCGTGGGCGAAGCTTATACTGGTAAACTCAATTTCCCGTTTTCCAGCCCCGATTCGTCTGACCTTGCAAATAAGTGTTAGATTGGGGAAATGACGGAGCAGGAATAACATTAAACCGTGAGGGGGGTGATTAAATTGTTGGGCCGAGAAAAGGAACCGGCCTCAAAATCTTGTTACAAACTATTAGAGTGAGGCAAGAGATCTCGAACAGTAAGGACGTGTTTATCACAGCTCATCTAAACAACTTATTTCAAGAGTTATTTGAGTCGGATTCGCCCAAAAACGAGGACACAGTGAGTCGTGTTCCTCGTGCAAATCATCGTCAAGTTTCGAGAAATTTCTGCAAGGAACTTGACAATAACGAGTGAGTGAATTTTACTAAATTAATAGGAAAGCGGACGGACAGGAAAGCAGCCTGTCCAGCTTATCACNAAAAAAAAAAAAAAAAAAAAAAACTATTGGATTTTCTCGGAGATAGCGCACCGAATTTCAAAGTGGACTACTCTAATTTCGGCAGTGACTGCCCAGAGGTTTTACCCGGAATTAGAATTGTCGAAAATGTATTTGCGTTGTGGTCCACCGTATTAAGGCCATAGCAAACCAAATTTTGAGATATCGACCCAGGACAATTAGGAAAACCGTTAAGGTTTTATTCTTTTATTACTTAAGGTTCTGGAAGATATTAAAAACATTTGATATATTTAATTATGTTTAAGGTGACCTATTAATAATTATATTGAAGAGGATCGTAAGGAGGTTAAGGACACCTCTCCGTAATGGGTATTCTACCAGATCCCTTTTGCAGTTTTTGCGAAATAAAAGAAGAAACGGCAAGGCACTACCTCGCAGAGTGTGATGGTATGCTAGATCTAGATTTGAAATCTTTGAAGGAGAGGACATGACTAAATCACTCCCTGAGATTAAATAGTCCAAAATCTTGGGGGTTTGTGATTAGGTCCAAAAGATTTATGCAGGACACGTGAGCCGACCATGACCCGGACCTTTTAGGGATGGGATACGAGTCAAGCATTTAACCCCTCGGGTCTTGTTCGCCCACCCTGCATAATATATATATATNACAAAGAAGAAGAAGAACAAAGGACAAAGTCAGTCAGTCAGTCGATCAGTCGTGCCTTTGTCCTCACAGCGACAACATCGTCACAATTGTAATAAAAGAAATAAAGTGTGAAGCAAACAAGCGAAATGGATCATTTCTTTCCCCGGGAAGACGAAGCGGTTTCTCCTACATATATATATATATATATATATAAGGAGGTTAAGGCTTAGCCGAAGGTCGTGGGTTCGAATACCGTTCGTGACACTAAATTTTTCATCTCAATCAAAACTTTAGATAAAAAGTATAATTAATTGAAATAATAAAAGGTCAATTATGACTGCTAGATATATATCTCAATATACCAGATATAGTATTTCATAATCTTTGCCTAAATTCTGTTCCAATCAATATGGATGAAAAACGAAGTTAAATACAAAATTTATGTTTTCATATTTAAACTTCGTCTACAGTGACTGCGTGTTGTTCATGGTTTTCCTGAGAAATTTTCATTTCTTTTGTGAAGTACAGGATTCTTCAGTGTATGGTATCAGTGTATTAAATCGCTCTAGAATATCTTTTCTATAGTACCAAAGCTTTTTTCTAGCTACTGCAGGGCAGTTGGAAGGGAAAGTGAGTTAATCTTAACGGAAAACAGAAAATATTAATGGAAGTTTTGTGCTCAATGTTCATTAATAATAACAATTAATTAAGGTTTTTAGTTGAGATGAAAAAAGTTAATGGCACGAGAGGGATTCGAACCCACGACCTTCGGCTAGATACGCCGCTGCTCTACCACCTGAGCTATCGTGATCTCAATCCACTCGGACATCAACTCCCCATCTCAACCGTACCTTATGAGTTTTCCCTCCTTTTGCCATTTTTCAAATGTCGTGTAATCGGTTTGGATTCTCGACGACAATTGGAATGGCGACGGAGAGCTGTAGTGAAGTGTACTTCATTTTTAAATCATTAATTCACTACTTTCGTGGTCCGCGTAGCCAATTAATACATGACAATTAATTAAGGTTTTTAGTTGAGATGAAAAAAAGTTAATGGCACGAGAGGGATTCGAACCCACGACCTTCGGCTAAATACGCCGCTGCTCTACCACCTGACCTATCGTGATCTCAATCCACTCGGACATCAACCCCCCATCTCAACCGTACCTTATGAGTTTTCCCTCATTTTGCCATTTTTCAAATGTCGTGTAATCGGTTTGGATTCTCGACGACAATTAAAAACCTTAATTAATCGTCATGTATTAATTGGTCAAGCGGACCACGAAAGTAGTGAATTAGTTCATTAATAATGTTAATGTTAATATTTGCTTTCCATTGTATGTAACCAATTATTTATTTAAAGCGTTATTTGGAGGAGCAAAGTTAATTAAAATGTTATGAAATTATCTCATTATTACAAATATGTTAACAGTGATGATATCATAACAAGGATATAATATTCCAACATATTTATTCTATGTTCGCTTTGTAATATTAATAAGGTTGTTATTTATATTAGCAATTATATTTTAGTGGTGTTAATTAAACGGATTTGTTTTCAAATAGAAAAACCTATTGTACAGATTGCACAAAATTTATTATAAACTCTTCGGTATCATTATTTTAGATCTATTTGTGATCAATTTTATTTTATCTTTGGACTCATTTCGTCTCCGTGTAATTAAATGGGTTTCCATGTTTGGTTTTAAATACAGGGTCGTATGCTGTGTAAAGTAATTCCTGTCATACAGAAGGGATTAACGTCCCCCTGTATTTAGTGTAATAATACATAATCGAACACTCGATGGGTATCGCGGACTAGGGATCAAACCACTTTACAATACATTTTTTATAACTTTATATACCTTTTTACACACCATTTTCAATTCAGACAACTCGGATTATACCGGGATTCGAAACCAGGACCCTTAGTGTGACAAATACGAGACGGATACCTTAACTCAATCAGCCTAAGGGATTCCTTTAGGTCGTTTGCTTTCAAAAATAATTGGAGGATAGTAAAACGTAACTGCATTATAATGCCGATAAAACTAGTTTTCTAACTCTCTCCAACGGAAATGTGCGATTGTTTCATTTTTTCGTATCTGAAAAAAAGGATATTTCACGCATTTTCATTCATTTTTTTAATCTAAATTGATACCTCATTAATAACTACGATAACGTTCCTACAGGATGAGTTGTCTACTGAACCCTTTGAGTCCAAGTGATGCCTTTTCGATGTCACATCCCTACAATATTTAAACATTGGAAGATCGATGAAGAATTTCAGATATACACATCATGAAAACAGCATCATTTAAGAAGTGTCAAATGGAATGCTTGGTACGATTGGTACATTCATTTTTCAAGAAGTATGTTATATCAAACCCATCATAAAATCAAGGTTTTATGCGAAGAAAATTTAATTTTAAATTCAAAATGAGTTCGAAGGAAAAACAAATTAATAAAATTCAAAAATGACCTGATGAAACCGTTGATACTACTTATAGAGGATCAACGACTGCTAAATTTAACATTTTTTTAAAGTACGTCTAACGGTTGAAAAATTGATTTCAAAATAATGTTCGGTACAAGTGGAAAAGCTCATGTTTATTCAATTCGAACTTGTCTAATTACTACAAATGAATAAACTCCATGAAACGTCTTGAATAAAACTCCTGAGCTTCTCGCATTGTTTCATCCTTGTTAAGATAAGGTTCGAACAAATGCTTGCGGCAATTACTTCCTTCAGAGATTACTCGTCGGCAGTTAAAACTCGCGAAAGGTATCACAGCTCTCTTTAAAGTCAGGAAAGTTGTACTCCTTGCAATAATTGAGTTAATTATAATACATTTAAAGACCTGCAACTATTGTAAATGGCTATATCGTATTTTAGTAGTTTAGTATTTCTCCTTCAATTCGGTTATAACACTGCAATGGCTTTGCTGTCACATGGCTAAAGGGCTTATAACGAAAGCAAGCATACTCGGGAAAGTAATATAATTTACAATTTACATTTAAAAGCAGGTATAAGCTTATTTTTAACGCTACACCCCCGGCTTGCCTCGCAGCTCCCTTTTTTTCATTGCCCACTCATCCCCTCAGGAAAAAGCTAACTGCCGTGGGGCGGCCCGGGGGTTGGCGAGCGGAACTTTATATTACTGTTAGTATAATATTTTAATATCCCGTTAGTATTACCTTTTTTTCAATAACACGAAAAGAGCATCTCCAAATAAAAACTCAAACACGTCCGAGCCTCTCGATTTTTGGCTGCTCCCTAAAACAAATAATTTGTACACTACTCCAAGCTTCGTTGAAAACAATATTTTATATGCATTATTCTTTTAATTTGTATTCTATTTCAATGTTCATCTTTGCCGTATACCTA